GCTTTTTCTAATACAGTTGTATGTTTCTCACCTAAAGAGATACCTTGTCCTTCCAGAAAAAGAAAGGAACCTTTTCTTTCCATCTTGATCTGATGCAAAGGTCTGCAAGGAAACCTGTGGTTTCTGTCAAAACAGAGGCTGGGGAATTATTTGATTCTTGATTCCATCTGACACTGCCGGCATCAATCTGAGGCTTGAAATATATTGATTTACAGTAAACAAATAGAGTTATAGAACTGAGACAATGAATATACACTACTCTGCCTCTTGTCGAATACTAAAGATAGCCCGGGGTAATGAATGCATCCAGAATGAATATATTCAGATTAGCAATGCAATGAAAATGACATGCACATCTCTCTCAAGTATAAGAATCAAAGCTAGAACAGGAGAGAATATGGGTAACAGCATCTCCTCTATGGACTGTACATGTAGATTGGAAGTATAACATATTCTTATAAGAAAATGTAAGGAATAGATGTGTTGTTGTGACACATTAGCATTTAAAGTAAATGTATAGTAATCATATAAATTAAACCATGTTTTCACTGTGATTGCAATTTACAATATGTTTTTCAGACATGAAGGTTTGTTAGTACAGTTTGTCAGCAGTACGCTAGAAATGTTCTAAATTGAATTAAATTAAAACTAAGGTTTTCTTAGTTAACATCTAGCTGTAGGGCTAGCAATCAAGACCATTTTTAAATATGGTACAGATAAAGAGATATTTCTCTACAGTGCGTATTGAAAGAATGACTTCTGTTATGAGTACTCAGGAACCTTAATACACTAATGACTTTGAAATTAAAAAAAAATGCATTAGGTTTAGGAACTACACCATTCTACTACTTTCTTCTTCCTATTCAAGAAAAAAAAAAGGATAGTCAAAATTTCTGACCTTTAGAATTACAACTTACTCTTCCTGTTTGCTTGAAAGATCTTTTGTTCTTATTTCCTATACAGGATAAAACAGCTGGAATAAAGAACTGTTCTGACTGTTGTTACATCTAGTAACGTTCACCCTTGTCATATTTTGCACGCTACATTAAACAAAAACATAACAGGCAGTTATTACCGAGCCTGCTTTCTATTACAGTGAGTCTTTGTTAGGCAGGGGCAGAGGAGCAAGAAAAACGAGCAGGGGTAGAAAAAGCCAAACAAACAAACCAAACCCCCAAACGAAACAGAGCAATTACAGGGTACCGCGTTAGGAGCGGTGATGAGGCTCTCCAAACCACAATGCGCTCGTTATAAAAGGTAGGCTGAATGCAACATTATAGCAAAACAAAAGAAAAAAACCCTAAGAAGCAAAACACAAAGTGTTGCTATCATACCAGCAATCTAATCACAGGAGCAGAACAACAGAGGATAGAGATTTCCTGCGCCAAGAGGCGCAGCAACACTATATTGCTGCAGTGGGGGCACTATGGAGTATAATGAGGCGTTAGGTGAAGTACTTATGTCTCCCCAGTGCATTTTATATGTATATTCTTATAGTCATCTGTAATATCTTCAGTCATCTTTTTTTATTTTTCAGCGTGTAATGAACAACTGTGCCTCGCAGGCAGAGCGGGTGGTAAAGGCTCTGCCGAACGGTGCTGCCCCGGGACTGCAACCCCCGCATCATTCAACTCCTGTTGCCCAGCACAGCACCACATCCACAGGAGGAATGGAAAGCACGCTCTGGAAGAGAAATATAACCACTATTTCTACAAAGCATTTCTCTTCCCAGCCCTTTTCCTTTCTTTTTCTGCTTCCTTCTTCCCCTCTAGGTCCCTTTCCCCAGTCTATGACTAGTATTTGGCAAATTCCATCTATATTTGTGACTGGTTTGCGGATGATGTAAATGTATTGGCTGGAAAATTAAACTTCACTCAGCCCTCACCTTACCTCCAATTATTCAAATGCCTCTCATGGAACTCAGCATTTTGTTCTTTTGAGTTGGTGCCATTCTGGAAAGTCAACGCACGGGCTGGTATCAAGGGGTATTACGGCAACGTGAGTTGGCAGAGAGATTGAAAATCCAAAGAAATGTTTTTGAAAAGATAGGACTAAACTAATATATCATCCTTTCAGACAAAAGATATGTGATACTGTTAAAGGGCTACTCCCATGTAAGCAGATGGTTAATCTACAGCTAGTCTACAGTTGAGAAGCTCTTACTGCTCATCAGAGCATACAAATACTTTTTTTGAGAGTTAAATAATCTAAATTAAGAGTTATCATTCATTCATCCATATGTAAGTCTTGTTGCAGATCTCCTGAAAGTTATACCTTACCTGAAAAAAGTGCACGTTCAGTTACATAAAGAAGTAGAACAAACAATCTGAAGTAGGCTGAATATGTTGGGAATATTTCTACTGACTTAATTTTGATATTAGATCATGCTGAAGAAAAAGTAGTGAAAGATTTAAAATGCACACACAAACACAAATACACAAATACACACACACACAAACACAAATACACAAATACACACACACACACACACACACACACACGTATTTATATATATATGCCGACTTGTCCTATTCATATTCTAGGGGAAAAGATATTAAAAACTAGGGATTGTGATTGCCTTCAAAGTACACAAGAGATAACAAATCAAATCAATGGCCCTTATCTCTGCAGATTATTGAAATATCCAGGAATACAAAGAATATCTTGGCATCTGCTTGCACGAGAAATCTAATATGAATGTTATTCATATTCCCGCAAAGGTGGACAATTATAACACATTCTTTAGACGTATCTATCTTGTTGATAAGAACCTGGTTGGGGAGCCACAGAAACCTATTTTTTTCTAGGTTTAAAACAAAATGGCTGAAAAAGACTGTCCTCCTTCATTACAGAAAATGCTGGCAAATATCAGCAGAATCATCTACTATTTTTCCCTTTAGCAAAAAATGATACAGATAAACGCATAAACCAGATTTGTTTCTGAGCATTTCTGTTATGAATAGGGTGTACTGCTAGGCAAATTATAGGTTAATATTTAATCTGGGGAGAGCAAGATGCAAAAATTATATGTATAGCTGGAAACACTGGATCATATGCACCTAAATCAACTTTGCTGGATAGATCTCTGAGAAAGAGAACACCTACCTAGTGTTACTGTTTTTTTCTTGTCTGGAACTGGAATGCGTGTAGGAATTTCTTCTGTGACGGGTATTTTTAAAAATATTTATTTGGCTTTGTAGTGCCATTTAATTAATTTCATGGAGCTTAAATGCTCCCTGGCTAAGCTTATTTTATTCATTTGTTTCTTTTTAAAAGAAATAAAATTGCCTTAAATAACTATTTTTTCTTAAATAATTATTTTTCCTCTAACTATAACAATAAATTAAAAATAAGACTTATGCCAGGAATTGACGTATCATAGCTCTAACTCCACATATCATGAATTCAATAAGAAAAGATGGCACTTCTGGGTTCCTTGAATTCAATGTATAGACAGAATCATGCAAGTCTGATGTTGACCATTGCAATCACTTCTTGGAGTCCACAGAGCTTCTGTAACTAAAACCACTGAGGGTTTCAGATACAAGTACTTGAAACTCTCCCATTAGCTGACATCCAGAGCAAATTCTGGAGTATAAACAAATAAGTAAAGTTGAGACATGTTAATTTCTGGTAAAGGAAACAAAAAATAATATTTCTTTGGGGTCTATTACATAATAGTCTTCAGTACTATAGATTCATTATTTAGAAGTCAGTGTAGTTTTTGTTCCCACGGCAAAGCCTTCAGATTTGCTTTAATTTTATTATCAAGGGAAGTGTAAATTCAAAACATCAAGAAGTATGGTTTCAGTATTTAACAGATTATAAAATTCAGTTATACTAGAAACATGGAGTGAATTACTTATATATATTTCCCATTTACTTGGAAAAACATTTTGAATTAAAAATCTCCCTATGCTGTCACTCCCCACAGGTGAATAAATTTACATGCATTTAAGTAAAGGTACTATAGAACAAAAATGAAAAACCGTTTTTTTACTTTCTGTATAGCACTTTGCTAAAGCGGGGAAAGTGCAGGGGAAGATGAACTGTGAAAGTGCGGATGAGGTAAGAAGGAAACACTGTTACTCCTGTCGTCTTAGCATTCGCCACAAGAAGACTTTTAAAACATAGAGTTGTCTTTCCGTGAGGACGCTCAACCTTTGAGCAAAGAGTGTGGGTGATAATGCAGGGGAGAGGCGTAGAGAGGGAAGAGCCCTGGAGAGAAGGTGGGCAGTGTGGGAAGACAGAGCAGACATGGAAAGGAAGCATGCATAAAATTAAGCTAAAGAAGACAGAGTGAAAAATGAGTCATGGGCTTAAAAAAGATATAGAAAATAAAATACAGGAAATTCGTATACAACTATCCATACATACCATCTATGGGTGGTTCTCCAGCATCTGTAAAAGTTAAGGATGGAACTCCTCATTCATTAGATTAAGATAGATTTTCAGTTCATTTTTTAAAATGTATTGAAAAATACATAAATTTGCATTCTTTTAGAAAAGAGATACTAATTTCAAATGGAAAGGAAAGACAATTTTGTTAATTTAAACCATTATCATGAGAAGTTTACAGTTCCTACATCTCTGTCAGGGTCAGTCAGGCCGCTATGATTAAGAGAGCCATTTAAAAGGCAGTTAAGACACTCAAGTTAGTCGATATTTGAGGAAAATTGTCATGGAGATAATTCTGGATTCTTCATGAAAAAATCTACCGAATCTTTCCAGGTATTCGATCTGTGAAACATCCCTCTAAATTCTGGATGGGATCTAGTACATTAGGCTAATTTTGTGTGACGACAGTGAAGCTTTCCGCACTGATGGAGATTGACGTACAGCATGGCGAACACAGAAACAACGTGAATTTTCTTGTCAGGAACAAAGTAAGCGTTTTTGCGTGAAGCCAGTACCTCCTATCATCACATAGAGCCAGCAGCCAGCTCTGAGCGCATTTGCCGCAGATTCTTTTAGAGCGTGTCACATCACTAAATCAAAGTTGCTTAGTGGTTGCCAAACGGTAGCTTATGACGCTGAAGAGATTACTAAGTAGCCTCAGAAAAGAAAATAAGCTCAGAAAAGCATATATGAAAAGTGATATCTACAGTTCTAGTTTAATGTAGTGCGTTACAGCAGCAGTTGTTCTGTTTCTTCTGTTGTGGACAATGTTTTCAGTGTTAGAGTATTCAAGGAAGCCTGGGATGCTGTTTTCTTACCTACTGCTGATCCTTCTACAAGCAAGGGCTTGCAACGTTGACAGCAAGGTAAGATTTTTTTCCTAGAACCAATAAATGAAGCCTGGCTAACTGTACATACTAAGGGGAACATGTATCCACTTGTGAAAACTAAGTTTTCGGTAATCAGTGTGCCTAGGGGAGCCTTTTGATGTGCTGCGACCAAAAGATAAGCAATTTCAAATGCTATACTGGAAACTGCCACATTAATATTATCCCTCAGGGATGTCTGATTAACTTCACTTCTTGATGTAACTCAACAAGAATGATGCAGTATATTTTGGGAAATCATAAAAAGATTGGACCCAGAATAGGAACCCCGGGAAGGTAAAGGACATAACAGGCAGTGAGAAGCAGAGAGATAAATAAATGACTCCATAAAAGTGCACAACACGTGTGCTCCGTTATTGTTCTTTCCTTTTCTTAAACGACCTTCTGGAAAAAGCTGTTTATCTGCTAATACTGTACCAAAAAATATACTATAACATTGATTTATTTCATTGAGTGAACAAGTAGTCACCATTAAGCAGATTTACAGTTTTGGGAATCATTTTACTGAGTGTCTCTGTAGAAATGTCTCCCTTCTCAATAAAGCTGCATTTCAGCCACACAAGGAGTATGTAAGGAAATTGTTATACAGGAAGCATTTGGCATGTGCTCCAGTTTAGGTTTGCACAAGTGAAATCGCACGAGATAGCGCTATCACTATAACTCACATCAGCTCTTGGCCTAACTCTTTGTGTACTGGAAGCAGCTGCAGTATCCTGCAGCGATGAGGAACCACCACCTGACATTTCACACGCCAGCATATGAGTTTTGGGCATTAGCTTAGTACACTTCTCTGGACTGGTGAAGTTTTAAGAAAGCCTAGGGTAGAGACTGAAATGGTGAGTACAGGGAAAGAAGGGAATGTGGGAATTTGTTTTTTGAGAGCTTATTTGGAGATCATGAGAGCGGTTAAAACATTAATTTGGCTTCAGTGTGACTAATATCCAGCGCAGCCAGAAGGAACTGTGTGTTCTTGGCTCTCATGCAATTAGCTTGATAATTAGCGAATTTGGAGTAAGACGGTAATTGACCAAAATTAATCATAATACTTTTAAAAGAAAACATTCTTATTAGGCAAGGTCTTGTCTTGAAAGTTTGTCTTCAAAAACATCTTAATGAATACTATACGTAATTGTTCCGGTTAGGCAAGTGTAAATCTAAAGAAATCTACAGAGAATTCGACCCATGGAGCAGCCTCGTTTTGTCTTTGTTAGTTATAAGGGAACAAGGATTCAGCAGGTTTGCAGGAAGGCTGCTCCATCTACAGATACAGGCAAAGTCAACATTTCATAGTAGGCTGCAAGGCTTGAACCAAGCTCTAGCTGAGGAAAGAGCTCAGTCACGAGCTCACATCCTGCCGTGCCCGAGTTTCAAGTGCTCGGAGAGCTGGCTGGCCTGCTCCAGCCTCCAGCTGGTGCAGGAAGCCCAATATGTGTGGTTAGGGGTTTTAGGCTTGGGTTCGTGCCGCGGGATAACACGTCGGTCTATCTGCTTCTAACTGAGCCGTCTGTAGCTGCGGCCTCAGAAAACAGTGAGGCAAACAAGGCCCTGGTTGTATTCAGTGCCACAGGATAACCCAAATCTCTTAAAAATGTGTGTTTATCCCAGTTATGGCATAATCAAAGGTTTTAAACGTTGGCCTTTTTTCTCTTTTCCTCCCTGAATGTATTTCTTTCACATCTGGAATATTGCAGGCATGGGCAGTCATACTGGATTTCTGAACCACCAGACCAACCAAACTGTCATAGGAGCACAGGCGGAACAGCTAATTGGGAAAAAATAAGGTGATTTAAGATACATGACACTTCCTTTTCGCGCAGAATGCACCATGTCATCATCTCGGTAAGTTATCTGCCACCTCTCAGTCAGTGGAGTTCAATTCCTATTTAAGCACGTGAAAAGTGCTTCCTAAATGTCTCAGTCATCTGCAGAGCCGCTTTACGTGTGACTGCTCAGATGTCCAAGTCTTTGTTTGTGCTGTAGATTGCTCTCTGTCCAAATAACCCCTGACAACTACCTCTGCTAAACCCTTCCTTTGTATGAGTTTAGATACCATTAGCTGAAACTGAATATACATTTCTTACAGTATATATTTGTTATCTGAGCTTCTCTCCAATACACGTAGATTCTCAAAATATTTTTCCTGCTGCAGGTAACGTACTGTTTTGTTGTCTGAAGCTGTGCAGTGAATGAAGTTGACTGAAGTTAATCTAGAAGAATATTAGGTGTAATGTTATTTAGAAATTTGCTGCTTTTGTTCTTACTCTGATAAGTCCGTCTCTGAATCAATGGACACAAAGTCTACCTGAGATAATACTTCCAGCACATCTCAATTGTTCATTGTTAAGTTCTGACAGAAGCATCTTCACCAAAGAAAAGATTTCAAAAGCATTTTACAATCTATTTTTAAAATGTTCTTAAATTACACTATTTAAGGAGAAAAAAGAAGCCTTCAATAATATTTCTGATTGTGAAGTCCTCTGCAGAATAATAATCAGTTTTGCTTTCCTAACAACAAATGTTCTGCGACGGGACTGTTACAAATGCTAAATTAATGTCTAGTTTTGATTAATTTAGATTCATTTTATCAAGTCAATTACTATACTGTATCCAAATACAGTGTAATACCATCTGTGGTAGCTGTTGAACCAATGACTCTACAGACTCAAATATTTCCAAACCAGTTGTGGGATATATCTGGAAATAATACACTTCCAGTAGTAATGTTATATTTTACATACTGATTCTACACAAGAGGATAAAAATACTTTGCTAAGGTACTAGAAAATTGATAATATTTACTTTTAAAAGCTTCATACCACCTATGTATTTGCATTCAGGCAAATTAGTTTAGTAGCAGAAATATTTGTTGAAACGAATGAATTTAATGTGGACAGCTACTTGCAGAGTGATAATTTAAATTCATAGTTATGAATGTTAACACAAGGAAAATCATTCTAAAAGTAATCCTCATCCAAACATGAACAGAATACTTACATAAGTAGTCAAAATACCTAGAACATAAATACGTTCTGTGAATGCCTTGCAGGTTCGCTAATAATCAGTAAATTTTTGTAATGCTTGAATTTTAAAAGGAGAAAATCATAGAGCATGAACAGCTTTGAACACAGAAAAGACAAGACACCCAGAATAACAAATCACTCACCATTTTCTCAGAAATAGTGGTTTTCTGGTATCCCTGTCCATCAAGTTTCAGATAAAGTATTCTGAATACTCAAATTAACATTGCTAGCGTCCTCCCTAATGAAATTCCATGGTATTATGTGCTAGAGCTTTTTTGTAGTGCACAGAAGTGGTTATGTACTCACCAGGAAGGGCAGCAGAGATGCTGTCTCCAGTTGATAATGGTAGGGCATTTTGGCAATTGGCTGAAACACGGTGGGACCCATGAAAGTGGCCCAATGTTATTGGTTGGCGATAACTTTCTTTTCAGAGATTGATTTTTTTTCATTATAGTTCTGGCTGAGTGCAGGTGTACAAAATAACAGCCCATGGCAATGACCAGCAAGATGAAGCTCATTGAAAACTGGAGAAAGAAAATTCATTTTTACTTCGTCTTAGTTGTTGCTACTGCAAACACAATGACATGCTTTTATCACATAAAAGCAAAGAAAGTCAACATGCAATGTTGGTTCACTAACCCTCTCTCTGCTTTATGCAATATGGGAAATATAAAGTTTCCTCATATACATACATGCTTGTATGTGTGCGTGTGTGTCTGTGAAGGAACACCTGCTCTAGGCACCCTAGCTCACTTTGCTAGGCAGTCTTATGTGAGGTGGAGAAACAGAAGTTTAAGTTTGTTTGGTTTAGGCTCAATACTTTGCCTATATTTATATCATTGAACCTAACAAAACTCTTACCTCCGTAAGAACCAATAGTTTCCATATAAAAAAGTAAATGAGAAAATTCTGCAGCGGAAAGGAGTCCTTGACATCTGAAAGCCAAAATTTCTCTATCATGGTTCACCGTGAAAGAGCCTGAACTCAAGATTGCATCGTAAGACTGTTTGATCCCACGGAAGCTCGCTTTCTTGTACCCGTCCAGGCTGCATTTTATTCCATTAGAAGTATACACTATTTCAAAAAGAAATAAGTTATCTATCTGTCCCAAAAGCAGCTCTGGAACATTCTTGTGCACTACAGAGCACAGATAATTTTGGCAGAGCAGATTTTCTGTAGGCCTGAATGTGGATTTGATTTATATTTAAACACATTGACCTTCCTGGTCACAGATTTTATGATCTGTATCTATGTGGGAGAGAAGACAAAAATTGATACTGCAAATTCAAAGTCTTCCTAGAATCTACCCATTCTTTCTCCCAGTTTTTTGAATCAAAGGATAACGTTGCTAAAAAAAAAGGAAAAATCTCCCTCCCCCCTGCATATTAGTAATGTACCTGAAACTCCTCTATCTTATTATCATGGCAATAGATAATAAATATAATCTTTCAAAAAACTAAGCTAGCAGCTGATTTAATCTCCTGAATGTAATTGCACAAAATAACGATTTCCATGAGGAATGCATAACAAGTTTTTTTAAATCCCTCTCATATTTGTACATTGCTCTAGCTATAACATACCAATACCATACACTGTACATGTTAACCTACTAGCGGAACAAATGACAGTTGTCTAGTGCAGACTGAATAATTACACGTCTACCTGCATGCTAAGATGTAGAACCTCATTTTACATGCAGTTCAGTGTGCAAATGTAGAAAAGGTTTGTGATTTTTCCACACTACAAAGACATTTGCTTAGTTACTATTTTTCATTATTTCATCTTGTGTGTTCCTTTTCCATGTATTTAAGTAAGTAATCTTAAAAACAAGGCCTTATTATTACCCATAGAAATGAGTAGTGCTGTATCTAAACTGGGAATAAAAGCAGATTTACATAATATTGCTGAAAGATATTCTTCAGAGTAAGAACAACTTTTGCAGTATTTTGCTAAGAAAGAAATTAGCAAACAGAAAAATTAGATTTTAAATTACAAGTAACAAAGGAAAATTATGAGAATTAGTAAACGTGGCAACATTTTTGTGATTTTTTAGTTTTAAACTCAATAACTATAATCTCTTTCTGAGGATATATTTTGTGACTCAGGCTATTCTCTGAAGCATTAGAAAGCAGCTGCATAGTATCACTACAGCAGGGTTTGAGAATCAGCAAGCCACTGACGCCAGCTACAGTAAACAAATAACACAGAGAGGGTAAATAAATAACATACATTATGAAAAATGTATTTTCATTTGCTTTTAGTTTCATAAGAAAGAGACTGTATAATAACGTAAGCTACCGTGTGCATGTGTACATTTACAGGCACACATATATATACCCTCAGCTGTACAAACAATGTCTTTTTTTGACTCTTTTAAATGTGTTTCCTTTTTTCTACCCATAGTCATATTTAGACACTTTCGACTGTGCAACCAGGCTGAATAATGGCTCAGAACTATCTAAACATGCTGGGAGCAATATGCTTCATTTTGAGCCTCAATTTGCACCTGAATCATATCATTATATTCAGCGATATCACACAATTTACAAAACTTTCCATGTTTAAAATTGTGAATGTCATTTAGAAATAACAGGTAAGCAGGAAGAGTTCAATAAGAGGTGACAGAGTAAAGATACCCACTTTTTTTAGAAAAAAACTACTTTCACGTATTAAAGGTATAACATACAATTATATTTAAAACTGGCACAAGGGTTTGGAAGAAAAGGGATGGGTATTAATTCACGTGGCAGACAGCGATAATAGAAGCTGAACTCGTGAGAACTAGCCACTGTGGACCTAGACTGTCTGGGGGGTGCACAGATCTCCTCCAGGCCTCAGCGAAGCCAGAGGGGAGCTGCTGGTAGAGTGGAAGTGAGATGCAGAATTAGGCAGCAAAGGAACGGCGTGAGGAGAAATAGGCTCTGTAACACACCAGCAGGATTTGAGTCCCGTAGAGGATCTCCTATCAGGCTGCTTTTGGAGGGATTCAAACATCTGCCTGGCTCTAGCTGCCACCCCAGTGGGGTGAGGATCTCCACTAGGTCCCAGGGAGATATCTTAGATACCCCACAGCACCTAAAATGGCACCAGAAACCTATTTTTAGGCAACTGAAACCCTGTGATGCTGGTAGTGCCCTCCATGGAGCAATTTCTGAACCAATACTATCCTAAATATTTATTAGTGACCTGGAAGTCAGCATTAAAATGTTACTGAAGAAGATGGCAGATGACACAAAGCTGGAGAGACTTATCATTGAGAGACTGGCAAGCAACGGAATGAAAGGCAAAGATGCAAATCAGACAGTCTTTGGGCACAATCATTTAGTTCAACTAAAACAAAGAACATCAGCCATACATACTACATGTGACTCTGTTCTGCAAAACAATGTTAAAAAAGAATTTGGGAATCATGAGAAATAATAAGCATAAGGTGCTGGTTTTGCAGCCAAAACTATTATCTTCGGATTATAACCTAGGAATCTATTTTATAAACAGAGAAGTTATGTTACTTCTATCCTCTTCGACTGCATTTACCAGAGCTCCCTTTGAGGTGAGTCTGAAAAGCCACTCCACCCCTGGTTACAGCTTCTGCAGCCACCTACATCATCACAACTCTAATCTGTAAGTAACAAAAAGTATGGGTACGTCCGAGTTGTTGCAGATATGTTCAAAGCAATAAGACTGCTTCTCATTTTCCAAGAAAATTCTGCTCTTTGCCCTCAGATTGTTTATTAAGAAATGGGACAGAAATAAGGCTAACAGAGACTCGGGGCCAACAGTGGGAAGTAGAGAGACCCTGACGAGATTAACTTTTTATATCTGGCTCCTTTCTTTTGGACTAGCATGAAGTAAACCCCAAGATCCAAATACATCAGCATCTGTAGGATTCAAGATTCATGTCAGAATTTGAGCCGTTCCTGAAACCCTATACAAGTTCTTCCCTCATTTCTCTCAAATTACCTCTGTGAATATCAAACAGGCTGCAGCATTAGAAAAAGTCATTTCATCAAACACCTCAGGCTGGAACAGAGACTCCACTTGTCTGTAAGGTGCAAGGAATAAGCACATTAATGAACAAGATTTGTCCAAGATTTTGTTTGTTAATAGAACGAAATACTGCTCCTCTGTATCTCTATTGAAATATTCAACAAAATGTTATCAAATCTAAAATTTTTAAAGCTAAAAAATGTGCTGAGCATGATTAATTTCAGAAATGCTAGTGGCACAAAACCTATGTAGAGGAATCTCTGAGAAAGGTTTTGACTTAGTACTGTTAATATTAATAACCCAAAGTTCTTCTCAGGATATTAATGAGTGAACTTCATGCTCAGCCATTTCCCAAAACTAAAAATATGAGTGATTTCCTTCCCTGCAATGGGAATGTTCAGATGAGTACAGCTCCAATGCATATCCATTTTTGGGAGCATGATTTGAGCCACTTTCTTATTGTCAACTAAGCAACATAACAATTCTCATTCTGAAACAAATCCATAGAAACACATCTAAGTCCTCTTCTTTTATTGATGGCTGTCTTTTTGGCAGCACACAGACCCACCTGATAGCGTTGTTGTGACCCAGAGAACAGCTCTGTCCGAAAATGCAGCAAGTATTTTCGTGTCTTAATGCTGTTACTGAAGCGAGTTGCCTTTGACATGTTTTGAGAAGGCGACAAAAATGATGATACTGGCAGGCAGTTACTGGACAGCCACCGAATGCTCCTTCTGGTACATCGTTTGGGCAGCTGGGCTGGAAAGGCCATTAAGCAGCTGGTGTTGGAACAGTGACAGCCCCTGCCAAGTGGACACCAAGTGGCTCTAGGGCAGTGAAACCGGGAGGCTGACAAAATCACTAAGGTCTTATCATTGCAATGCTGTTCATTTATGCAAAGACTTTGTGACAGTCCTTATAGTACCAGAGCTACTGACTGCTCTCCTGCTTGGCTCCCCAGGATTGCCATACAAGGTTTTGCAAGAGCAGCCAGTTTCTATGCCGTGTAGGATAGGTGCAATGCTGGATAGCTTGCCACGACCCACCCCATCCCATGTAGTTACATGCCCTCGCTCCTAGTGCTGGAGGATGTGCTGCAACTACGCAGGAATCATCTCCAGAGCAACTCACAGTTGTCCTCTCTGTGTTGCAGGGAGAACATCGTGCATAAATCAGAAGTTAAAAGCAAACAATTCATAAATCTAGCTTCTAGTGAGATTAAATAATATAAATATAGAAAGTAAAACATGACAGATAAAAGAGAATTTAATTACACTATATAATGTCTCTGTGTGCATGCATACATGTGCGCGCATCTGTGTGCACACGTGTGTGTATGTGTTCGTGGATGTACCTGAACACTGAACCAGAGAATTTGCAGGAGACAATTTGAAAAGAAGTAAGGAATCAGTGATGTGAAAGTGCAGGTTAAAAATGAAAAGTGTTAAAACAAACTTGGTAAAGGAAACTCTCTTCCTTAAGGAAAGATTTGACAAAATCAAGAACCGATCACATGACAACAAAACCTGACTATCAGAAAACTCCTATACAGGGAGTGGACCCCCACACTGAAGAATTCCTGGAAAAAGTGATAACCATAATATCAGCAGATGAAGTCACAGAATAAACACATATCACAGAAAGAGGACAACATGTTTCTGCCTTACCATTCCCTAAGGAATATTTCTCACATGATTGTTTTCCATGTCCTAAACTCTGGACAACACAATGAAGTACTACCCTTGCCTTGAGAAACTGATGCCCACAGGACAAAACGTGGGTGATTTTCTCTTCACTCCATCCCCAGACCTCTAAGGTGTATTCCACAGGCAGAAGCCCAGATCAGCAGGACACTGCTGTCTCCTGCAGACTTCCAATAGCAACCATGTCCTCTGTATTTCGGAAAGCTGCTTCGGGGGAAGGATGCTTTGGGAGAGCAATACAGTGAAACTGAAGAACACCTCTCTTCACCGCCTGAACCAGATAATTCATTCTGGATATAAATTCATGGACTAGACTGTGATTACACTTAGATTTCTTAGGCTTTGTATTTGCCACAGTGTATTTTCAGTTGGAGATTCAGCTGGAATTTTGGCCTGAGAGCTCTGTTCACATCTGACGTCTCTTAAGAGAACAGGTTAATAAATCACAGGAAAAGTTGGGTCAGTCTGTCCTTTGGATAAGTACAAGTAATGTTTAACAAATTTTTGACAGCAGTGGGAAATGCCTAGCTTTCCTAATAATTTTAAGGACCGAATGTTATTTTTTAAAGTATTCCTTTAAAGGAAAGAGTCAATCTAAGATTGTTTGCCTTGATGTTTTCTCCTAGAAGTGGGGTGGGATTTTCAAAGCTATCAAAAGGAGCTTCAAGGTATAGATTTTTTTATCAGTCCTTTGATAACTGCATGATTCATGAAAATAAGAATACTTTTTTTCAAGGATAGGAGGAGTAAAAGCTCTCAAGAAGCTATAAAAAAGGTGGCATAACTTACCTTCCTTCAACATGTTCAGCAATTTGGATGCTATAGTCACTGTTGTGATTTCCATGCATGTAAACAGATAGGTTTACAGGGGAATCAGGGAAAAGCTGCATACCCCTTCTCTCTACTCCCTGTAGCTCTGCAATATAAGACCAGCATGGCTGAATATATACAGTATTTTTGAGTTGCATTTGTAGCACGGCAGTGGTACGTGTATAATGTGAGTATAATTACTACAGGGAAATTTACCTTTTTACAGGAAAGTACCATGCATTCTTTGTAAAAGCATTTTCTGGAATATTTTTTTCTCAACTATCAGCAGAGCTGCATTAGTTCTAGCTCCTGTAACTTTTCACTAAATGTGAATGTTTGCTACCCAGGTAAATGGGAAAAGTTCATGACCCTTTTTAAACTAAATGAAGACGAGCAAATCTAACCATTAAAATAAACTCAGTCTATATCAATACACAGTATCTATCTGAGAAAGCCTGGGAATAATGCGGAAAAAAACTTTGACACTATATACTTTGGCATCATGCAATAGACATTGTGGCCCTAATTACGCACATTTCCTATTGGGTATAATAGGAATAATGTTTACAGAACTAATGGATCTAGGTGGAACAAGATCTTAGGCTAGTGCAATTCCATTTTACAGACACTACGTTCATTTAATACGGTAGTTACTCAAAGCTCTGTTCATAGTGTAAATTGAATATGGCCCATCAAACAGAATGGGTAAAAATTGCCATGATGTACATTCATGATGTATGTATGACCTTAGAGGGAAATACAGCTGTCAGAAACACAGAAAAGCAAATTATTTTTTAAATACATTTGAAAGATGTTTCAACTTTCTTCCACACATGATTTTTATAACCTGCCATTGTCAAACAGCAATCTGAAAGGATTCCTTTTCTTTTCTGCAGTTTTCGGAGCATGGGAGCTGTCGGCATTATAACCTGGTGGAAACATACAGAACTAGTCTCTGGGTTTTCCTTTTACTAACCGCCTCCAGAAAAAATCACTCACACTTCTAAAGAATAACTAGATCCTTAATTTTCTGAAGATCCTAGGAATTTGCATGCCATTTTCCTACTTTCTGAAAATGAAAGGTAGGATCAGAGCACTTAAACAGTGTGAGTGCCAGAGTCTTCCTTGGACATAAAGTCTAAAACACACTGCAGCAACAGCCTGCTAATCCACCTACAAGTTCACATTAGCTTCTTACTGTTACTTTCAATAAGCAAAAGTCACAGCGCAGACACCATAAAAATCAGATTTATGCAAGTTTAATAAGCCTCATTGCAAGTTATTTCTCAGATTTTCATGGTCTGCTTATCTTGGAAAGCATGTAGAAAGGAAAACAAAAACCCTTTCAAACCTAGCGTTCTTCCACCAGCACCAAAAACAAAGGCAAAACAGTAATTTCCTCTTGTGCCGGAGAGAGAAGTCAACATTTTGCTCTGCACAGTGCTGTGAAAGCTCTCATGGTGGGAAACACTTCTTTGTCATAGAGAAGCTCAAAGTTGTATTAAGAGATAAGCTTTTAATTAAATTGGACTTCCTGAGAAGCTGCTAAAGACTATCGCACTGCTATCCTGCTGCAGAGACCATCAATTGTGGCACTGACAGCAAGCAGCCCTACAGCTCAGAGCCACGAAGTATTTTGCATTTTCTCAGTATTCCTTTCACAATCAAAACCCGAACTCAATTGTATTATGCTTAAACCGATTGTTTTTGTGACAAAAATATGTTTGCTCTGTTCGCTGAATGAGGCCATACAATTCGTGTTAAAATCGGTGGAACTACACAGCTAAAATCAGCACTCATAGCATCCTCGTGCAGAGGAGTGGAATTAGATATGATAATTGTTTAGCATGATCAGCTTTTTCCCTCTTTCACCATTTAATTAGCAAGTGGAAGTTGTCAATTTGGAGGCTGCTATCAAGTGTCAAGGTGTTATAATAGTCCTGACTAGTAAGGGTTACTGATAAAGGACTGGAAAGATCACGGAGAGGTGGTAGAAAAGCTGTAGCTTGATCCTGCTTGGGAAGCAGCACTACTGTAAATATTGAGATGTCCTGAGATTGGAAATCAATGACTAGTGTGGTACAGGCCTAAACCTGTGAGAAAACAGATATCAGATATCCAAACAGAAAACAGTTCCCATGAACTGTTCAGACGGGTTTTGCAGTTCTTTTCTTTGTGTTTCTTGTTCTATTTTCATTCTATTCCAGTATTTATTTAGTAATTATCCTGTAGCATTCGAGCCTCTCAAGATTATATATATTATTGGAAATATTTTGTCAATGCACAGTTTATTATATGAAACTGTGAAGAATTACATTAAATGTAGTTAGGAATCGTAATAATGATCACCTAATGCAAAGTATAAGCTGTTTTTCTTCTCAGAGTCTACACACTTCGTTTCCCTTTATTTTCCACTCCGATTTGCTGCTTTGATTTTATTTTGGATTAAAATTTCTTGAAAGAACAGATAGCTTTGCTGTCTATGTTTCTTTTTACTCTAACAGTACCAACAGAACGAAAATATGTTCTATTTTTAGAGTGAAATATGAATATTAATATGAAGAGTGAAAGATTTTTGATGCTTATTTATTTTTTCCTTTAAATGAAATTCTCAGCTTTTCAGTACCTGGAAATAAATAATTTTGGATTTTGCATTTCCTGATGCTCATTTTATTTCACTTGCTCTTCCAGCCCTAGGCAGACAGCTGTGTGGCCTTCGTTCTCTGTTAGTGGCAGAGTCACACGAGTGTGTGACTGAAGGTGCAAACAGCCCCTGCTTCACAAGGCAGTCTGTAGCTCCCCACTGTACTGTGCCTAAGCCTGCTCTTCCGGCACAGATTGGTACTTTCTGCCCTCACAGGAGCTAGATAGAGAGGTGCACGCCATGTCTTCTTTACAGCATGCTTTTTCCAGCAGGACACGCCTCAGGAGATGATGAAGTGAATACTTCAGTTTTTCTTGATGTGAATAAACCTTTGGCTGATAAAAGCCTCAATAAGTTCCAAGTATGTATACCCCATTATTTTGTTTTTCTGGATTCATTTTATTATGTTTGCTCTGTCTATACTGCCTCTTTCCATGACTGGTGCACAGGAAATATATTGCCTCCATTTTCACTCTTAATGTTCTAATGTCACTATGGCCTTATTCAATTTACTCCTTAAATAACCTTCAGAAGATCTGGCTGTTGTTCCTTCTGTTAGAAAAATGGATATTGTCGTACAAAATAGCGTATGACTCACCATGAGCGCCAACAGTCTATTGACCGCATAGATTGTCAGGCGTTCTTGGATAACAGATGGTTTAAATCGCTTCTCACTCCTTTGACTTCAGAGAGCATGGCTGTCCTGACACAAGCCGACTTCATAGCAAACGATCTGAAGAAAGCCAAAGAAAAGACGTCTGATTTCCAATGTCACGTGGGAAGCACTCATAGGGTGGTTCTCAGATCTCCCAAGTCCTGGCCAATGTCTGAATCACTCATTCATTCCTCGCCACTAGCAGGTAGCTTAGAAAAGAAATATGGTAAAGAAAACGTAAAAGTATTTTGAAATGTAACTAACGGTAGCCACAACCACTAAATATAACCTTACTTTTAACCTTCTGCAAAGGGTCATGCCAAAAATATATTCTTCTTTTGAATAGAATTCGGTCAGGGAATTTAGAATGTTTGGTGTTTTTCTTACCTGAAATATTTAAAAGCTGGATGTGCTGCATAAATGAAGCATGGAAATAATGCTTGTGCATACCTCATCCTTGTTAGTTTTGTTGTTATTGTTGTTGCTTTACAAATCAGATGCAGTTATTCTCACTCATATACACTATTGAAATCAAAACCAAACAGTCATTTTGTGGAAGAACAATAAAGCAACAACAAATTCAGTGGAAAATGAAATAATGATGTCACTGTACAGTCTCCGGATAACTCTCATATGTGACAAGTTGGCTACTTAGGGCATCTTTACAAGCTTTGCCATATCCCAATGAATACATATTATTATTGACCTCCCCTGGTGCCATCAGTAGCAGACCAGCACTGTAAACATAGCTGAATGGTATTTTTGTGGGAGCTATTTCTCCGAAGTCGGGAAGAGTTTTGAAATTGTTTTGAAAAAAATGCAGCTTAAAGTGGTCAAAAGTGTAGGGATTTGAGCATGAAATCAAAAGGTTGACACTAGCAAAGTATACTCCTAAAAATATAGACCTTTATTTAATGCTGCATATACCTTTAAAATGAAATAAGATTAATATGAGTTTTTGAAAAGTAATGAACAAATACTTTGGGCTTAGTAGCAGGTGTTTATTTGATTTTCAAAAGAGCTAAATAATCAGTTTTTAGAGATGCACGAGTGCTCAAGTGCTCAGTATTTTGAGAATCAGAAAGAAGTGGTTTTAAGAGCCTGTTTTATGATCTCGTTAGCCCAGCTAGACAATCTCAGTACGATGAAAAGGAACATAAATAGGTTCTGCTAATAATTACAGATTTGGCAGTAGTTTACAAGAAGACATGGCATATTCAATAGTGTAGTCAATACCGCAGTTTTAATTTATCTACCGTTTCTACTTACTTGGGCATATTTCTTTCCTTATTTTAAGGATGAATTTTGCCAAAATATTAAATGGCAAAAACAAAGTATGTTTTTATTGTACTATCAACAAGCAAACACCAGTTGCCTTACAATCAGCCAAGAGTTTAGTATTTTTACACTTCTTTTAGTTTTAAGGTTTTTCTTAAACTTTATTTGCTTATTTCTCTTATTTGAAAGAGACCAAATGATAAGATTACCTGTGCTTCTAGATGACTCACACACACACTTTTAACTTCATATCTACACTCATTTGAGGACCAGGTAGCCAGCGAGTATTCTCGCACTGCAATTATACCCATCACAAATATTCCTGAGTGCCTCACCCCCCTGCCACGCACCCCCTACCTCGCTCCGAGTTTAACAAACCATCTGTGGCAGGAGTTTCCTAAAATACAGAATATAGAAATTGCTTAAATGATTGAAAAAAAACAAACCTGAGTCAATAGGTATTTAACATATGGTCGTCTCCGTCCCTTTCTCTAGTCCTAGGATTGCAAGAAACAAACTTAGGATGATATTTTCTTTTTCATGAAGTAATTTGATTTCATCTTACTCATATGTCTGTAATACATTCCTGTAATTTTTCATCGTTTGTATATTGCAACCATTCTTCCATTAAAACAGTACAAAGTGGTTTCCGGATGTTTTATACAGCGTTCATTTAAAGACTTTAACTTTTACTGTACTCTTCTTGATTTCCAAACATAATTTTATTTCACAGTACATTAATTTCTATTACACACTTCTGTACTTTATCATTAACACCCTTTCATTATTTCAATAAACGAAACTAAATGTAGTGTTGGCTGTTTGGCTCCATGCTTCAGTACTCTCACCATGCTTCAGACAGCTGTAGGACAATCAAATAAATGACTGCAACACACCATTGTTTTAATTATATTTATTGATTCAAGGGTGTTTAAATCCTTGCTTTTTTCTTGCACAATAATGTATTTATATCTATAAATTGATTAATGGATTGCCGTCTTTATCACGCAATAACCAAATCTACAGCTGATTAAGTAACGTGTTTCTTGTACAAATTAGCTAAATTATACATGCCAAACACATCACATTCCCCATTTAACAGAAGTTGTTGCTTGCCAGGAAATCTTTTTATCATTAGCTCTTCTCAAGTGTGATACAGCTGTTGATGAAAGAACAGGACACTTCAAACAGGCAACGTCACAAAAAGCAGCTGGGCATCCTGCGTGGGCATTGTGTTCTGATACACGCAGCGCCCCTCAAGATACTGCACTGTGTGCGTTACTCCACAGTTAGTGGAGAAGTTTACAATTCCTTTATTTTTACTCAGCACATAACCTCTCAATGCAATTTGAAATAACAGAAATGTGATTTACAACGTATGAAAAATATATACACGCTTAGAGCCAGACTGCAATTCCATCACTTGCCCTCGCTAATTTCAGCTCCTAAGAGTAAAGGCTCACCAACATTGGTAGATGCGAGAAACTTATCTTCGCCCCACCAGCACAGTTCACAACGAGCTGCAGGAAGCTTGCTCTGTCCACAGGAGAACAGAGCATATTGAGCTCCCAAGCGTGCAAGGGACACCTCTCCGCTTTGTAATTGAATCGTGCTCTTTGGTGGTCTCAGCTCCAACTCACTCACCCTTGTAGAGAGCAGCCTGTCTGCCCTTACCATGTCACAGGCACCTCCTGGGGAAGCAGAAGCAGACAATGCTTTTTTTCATGATTATGAGGAAAGTAAAGTCATTGCGGAGGCCACTCAAGGGGAGATAACCTGTATGGTGGTGTCCATGGGGTAAATCCTCTGTTCAAGGCAGCATTTTAAACTCCCGATTCACAGATCTTGCTAACAATCTATTGTTTGGAGCAACCCCTTGGCAGTCTTGAGCAAGCTCCAGGGGGACACTGGTGGAGGCTTTGGGAATTTCTTCTCAAAAATAATACATTTATGTGTATATATATATATATATATAATTTTAGCTATGAAAAGAGACAGCCAAAAAATCTTTATATCTACTGTTCAAAAAATAAGGAACACAGTAGATATTTTAGGAAGCAAAATAAAAATGAAAAGCAAGTGTTTTTATCAACTCACATAATCTTACAGAAAGAACAAATGGAAAAGGACACTAGAGTCCTCTGAGCAGAAGAGAGAAGAAGAAAGCACCCAGCAGAGTGCTCACGTCCTAGCAAAATCACAGCCATTATGTGAGACACTTAGAGGAATATCTCAAGGGTGGCTTTGAAAGAACAGGTCAATCTAAAGATACAGGTAGGTACTGTACATTAATCAGCAGAGACTTAAGTTGTTCCAGCTTGACAGCTTGTCATAGGGGATTACTCTGTTACCTAAGAGAGACTGTAGCAGGTAGGTATTCCTGCAGAATGCAAAAAATGAAACACTGAAAATTTGTATTTCGTGAAGAACATACATTCACTTTTTTTAGCCAATTTTCATTGTATATGTTTTACCGTCTGTATCTCACACTCACTGACACGGAAAATAAGATTTTTGGAAACCTGTCCCAGTGTTTTTAGAACTGTGTCATCCAGAGTTAGTAGCTACGTTGCACTTTCCTATATTTTCAGCCATGTTACTAGCCAGCTCTAGTGCTACTATGGCCGGTAACACTGGAGGTGGAAGTAATCAGTGAATTATAGGCTGTTTTGGTTGTACTGAAATTACTTTCATCAGCAGG